AGGAAGGAAGGAAGGAGGAAGGAAGGAAGGAGGAAGGAAGGAAGGAGGAGGGAGAGACTTGTTAACAGCTTGCTGCCTTTGGGCCTCCCTCTGTCAGGTGCAGCTAGAAGGCCCTGAGCACCGGCCAGCAGAGGAAGGAGTGTGGGCATTCACGCGTGGCCCTGCTGGGGACGCAGGCTACACCAGTGGCTTCCATGGGCCCTGGAGCAGCACGGCCAGGGAGCTGCGGAAGAGCGAGGAGCGGGCGTAATTTATGAGGCGCTGGGCTGGCTGGTGGGCTGCCCGGCGCTGGCCAGGCCGCGCGGCCGTGTGTGCCTGGACTTACTGTACTTCCATATCCAGGGCCCTTTTGTAACGTGCCAAATATTCCATCGTTATTGTTCTAGGCACCTCCTGTTGGTCATTGGGCTAATTTATTTCAGTCGGAATTTCAGGACCAGACACAACTCTTATTACTCACGGCTTCAGAGAGGGAATAAAAGAGCAATTGATATTTGGAAAAATGAAAACTATGTCCAGACACTTTAGGCCCCGAGGCCAAGAAGGAAAAAACCGAGGGGGAGCAGGGGGGAGCTCGGGCGGGCTCACCTCGCGGTGCACCCGGGCCCAGCCCGTCTGGAGACCCGGAGTCTCCACCGTCTGCAGACCAACGGCCAACGATGGGCGGGGGATTCCCGACACCTGCGGGCGTGGGCAGAGGACGTGGGCAGGGTGCCCTCCGTTAGCTGTGCGGGTGCGCTGTGGCTCCACGCGGTGTCAGCCCAGAGCCGCTCGCTCTGGAGCCAGATGGAGCGAGAGGGAGAGGCGCCCCTCGGCCAGGGTCAGCACCCCGGGGGCCCGCAGGGCACACGCGGGGCTCTGTGCCCCACAAGCCAGCGTGAATCGGGAGCTTTGCTGTTTGGGTTGAACGCCTGGTGCCCAGGGACTCACACACACGTGTGCACACTCGCGTACACACCCAGGGCGGGCTTGGTCCCGTGCTGCTGAGTGGCCTGGCACGGAGGGGCCGGGCATCTCCGTGCATCCGGGGCTTTCCGTGACGGAGCTGCCGTGAAGCCCGGGCCTTTCTGGTGTGTCTTCACCTGCCTGGGTGAGGGCAGAGGCTCACGTGTGTACGAGCTGCTCCCGGCCGCGGCCATCGGCCCCCCTCCCTGGGTGTCTTCCGTCCTGCGTGGAACACCCAGCGTCCCGGCCGCCTCTCTGTGAGCAGAGCCACGCGCCTTCCCTGCTTGTACAGTCGGGAAACTGAGGCTGAAAGGCACACCGGTTTCAGAAAGCCAGCACCTGAGTTCTCCACATGCCCAGCCTTTGTTGGAGACCCAGGGCTCTCAGTGGGATGCCCGGGGCGCAGGCAGCCGAGCGAGCGGAGGAGACAAGAGACGCCATCTGAGAAGTCCAGCCGTGCCTCCTCCTGGGGCCCAGACTGCGCGAGAGCCCATGGCGGGGGCTGGAGACCCTCCCGCACGCGGCAGAGGGCCGGTGCAGCCCTGGGCACGTGGGCAGAGCCCGGGGAGAGGGGAGTGGGCATCCTGCCGTGCGGCTGGGCGGCTCCGGGTGTCCCCTTGGGTCTGCGTGGGAACGGAGTGGGCAGACAGACCCTGGTGGAGCCGAGGGTGAATTCTAGGCGTGGCACCAGCCCTTGGAGGTTACAGTGGCTTCAAGAAGAACAAACTGTCCCAGTCAGGCATTTCTGGGCTGGGAATGGTGCTCAGCACCCCCTCCCCTCCCCCGGCCCCAGGGCTCAGAGGCGGGCAGGGGCGGGGGGCAGGAGCTGCCTCCGCCATCCGGAGCCCCCTCCCCAGACCTCGGCCGCCTTCCTGTGTCAGCCGCTCTGGGTTTCTGGCAATGGGAGGAGAATCAACACAGAGGCTGCGTGTCAGGTGTGCCTTTACCAGGGATGTGGTGGAGTCGGGAACGCCGCGGTGTCAGGAACGCCGTGGTGACAGGAACACCGTGGTGACAGGAACGCCATGGAGTCAGGAACGCCGTGGTGACAGGAACACCGTGGAGTCGGGAACACCGTGGTGACAGGAACACCGTGGAGTCAGGAACGCCGTGGTGTCAGGAACACCGTGATGTCAGGTACGCGATGGTCCATGGTGACAGGAACACCGTGGAGTCGGGAACGCCGTGGTGACAGATACGTGGTGGTGACAGGTACGCGGTGGTGACAGGTACACAGTGGTGACAGGTACGCCGTGGTGACAGGTACACAGTGGTGTCAGGTACGCGGTGGTATCAGGAACACTGTGGTGTCAGGAACGCCGTGGTGACAGGTACGCGGTGGTGACAAGTACGCCGTGGTGACAGGTACGCCGTGGTGACAGGTACGCCGTGGTGTCAGGTACGCCGTGGTGACAGGTACGCCGTGGTGACAGGTACGCCGTGGTGACAGGTACGCTGTGGTGACAGGTACGCTGTGGTGTCAGGTATGTGGTGGTGACAGGTACGCGGTGGTGTCAGGTACGCCGTGGTGTCAGGTACGCCGTGGTGACAGGTACGCAGTGGTGACAGGAACGCCGTGGTGACAGGTACGCGGTGGTGTCAGGTGCGCGGTGGTGACAGGTACGTGGTGGTGTCAGGTACGCGGTGGTGTCAGGTACGCCGTGGTGACAGGTACGCCGTGGTGACAGGTACGCCGTGGTGACAGGTACGCCGTGGTGACAGGAACACCATGGAACTTTCTTCGGTGGCCAGGACACGTCCAAGGCTGTGGCTGGGCCACAGGACCAAGTTGAAAGGCACCTCTGGTGGAATCGCAGGAAGGGGGGCACCTGTGAGGGCCTCTCCACTGTCACAGAGGACCGGGCAGCGGCTGGCAGAGCACAGAGGACCGGGCAGCGGCTGGCAGAGCACAGAGGACCGGGCAGCGGCTGGCAGAGCACAGAGG